GGGATTACCTCGAAGGTAAATGAAGGTTTTGAATATTTTTCGGCGAAACTTCCGGCGAACACTAATCAAGACCACACAAATAGTCCACATATTGGATTTATCTCTATGAGATTTATCCAGATTTTGATATTAGATGTCAAAACAAATTTCATATCGGCCCAAAGCCTAACAATAATTTATTTTAATCAAAACAAATTTGATTAATTGATTATTTATTCATTAATAATTCTAGGGTATGTTTTGGGGCGTTACAATATCTCCTCTATAGTTGGGAGATCCAGTTGGGAAACACATGATTTAGTTAACAGTAAACTTGTAGATATTTCATTTATAACACTACAAAACTAGCACATAGAGATAAGTTAGAAAACTGAAAATCAATACGCCCCTCCTTCCCTCCCCCCAAAATCCCCCAACCATTTTTAAATATAGAAATTGGCAAAAACACAAATAGATTACTCTCGTGGAGCAAAAATGGCTTGACTTCACAACTATCTCATGCCATGTTCGTAGAAAAACTATGAATACAAACCCTGGATCTAAAATAGATGAAATGGTTTGGTGAATTCAGAACACGCACAGAGAAATTAGCGTGAAGCAACCACATACACAATAAACTGACCAATTTCAAAATACCTGAAACTGAAAACTAAGTGAAACAGATCGAGCAAATCCAGCAGGCGGGATCGATGTGGCCGGCGATGTACGACTCCATCACCATCGTCCACGAGTATTTCTTCCACGGACGCCCGAGAAACGTCTGGATCTCGTCGGATACGGGTTTCAGATCTTGACCCGGCACGATCCCGCAGGATTGGAGCGAGATCCCAGTGTTCTAGTTCTGGTCGACCCGGCCCTAGATCCCGGCGACTGTCGTCAATTGAAGCCGAATCCAAAGGAGAAACCTTTCTCGGTTATCTGTCCGTCCGAGAAGAAGTCAGCCCGATTGAAGATAAACCGATTGAAGATAAAGTCCCTGATCTCTCCAGCCTCCTTCAATTAGAAATAAAGTTTTACAAATTATAAATTTGGTCCAATTAATATTAAAAAAATGTAAAAGAATATTGGCACCGGTTATTAAAAACACCTATGCCTCTGTTATACGGAGTATTATTTAAAAACTTAAAAAACAGGGCATTAGCATCGGTTCTCGTAAAAACCCGATGCATTTGTTTAATTTTTGAAAGTATTAAAAAATAAAATATAAGTATTAGCATCGGTTATTTTTTATAACCGATGCCATTGATAAATCTATTGCATCGGGTTTTGCAAAATAACTGATGCTAATAACAATCAATTGCATCGCTTTTGAAAAACAACCGATGCCTTTGATCTTTTGCATCAGTTATTTTTGTATGTGATGCAATTGAGGCAGTCTTTTTGCCTTTTTTTGTAGTAGTGGTTGAAACACCTGCAGCCTTCAATAATCGATTGTCCCCTTTTGACAATCGATTATCCGTACTACTTTGAAACACCTGCAGCTTGCAATAATCGATTATCAGTTATTGATAAATCGACTATCATCCCCTCCTGAAAATCCATGAAACTGCACCATCTGACAATCGATTATCCAAACTAGATAATCGATTATCCTCTTGTCCTGAAAATCAAAAGGCTTTATTTCTTGAGTTTGAGCTTAATACCGACAAACCCAGAGCCTAGATATATCAGAACCCCCATTGCTTCCAATGTCAAGAGATTCGTCATTGTGCAATTAAATGTCCAAATGAGAATTTCAAACCATTGGTTGAAAAAGAAGAAGAGAAATCAGAACCATCGGGGCTTTAAGAAGCACTAGATGATGTGAAAGCTCTTGCCCAAGAAGAACATGAACTCATGATCATTGATTGACCATTGAGCAATTCGGCTGATCAAAATAAGCTTGGAGTCAAACCCCCCTTAAAATCATGATCCATTGAATGGCTCAACCATGGAAGAGAACAACGAGTGCAATCACGTAGTTTTTCTTTATTTCATATTGATAGGCCATGGACACCTGATTTTTTGGATATGTATTCATTAAGAAAAAGGGATCCAACATGTTTATTCCTACCCATGTCCATGCCTCACCAAGGGATAGAACCACAAACTCATCTAAGCTTAGGTGAAAACAAACCCAATGGTGAATTAGAGAAGAAGGATGTAGCTGCCACCAGAGATGAGTTCTAAGGCTATGGCTTAACTAGCCTAAAAGTGAGAGTTGATCAGAAGAAGATTCTAAGTGGAGCTATGAGCCAAGATGTTGAAGCCTCACCTCAAAGACTATCTTCACTAACGGTACCTCGTGCCCAGTTTTTAAGTTTTTGCAGGTTCCATGTGATGAAGAAACCTCCGAAAGGTACCCATCGCTGGGTAAGGGCATTCTACCTTGTGATAATGTTGGACCAAGGCTTGAACAGCGATGGGTAGAGCTTCCCATCGCTGTTTGGCATGGTTCTGGAGTTCAATTGGGCTGAAGGCTGCTTACCCATCGATGGGAAGATCTTCTCATCGCTGGGTGGCATGATTCTAGAATCCCGGGATCACTTACCCATGCATGGGTGAAATCTACCATCGCTGGGTAGATGGCTAGCCCAGAACCATGGCCTAACCGACCGGCACTGAAACCCGACCGAAAAATGCAAAGTTCTCCAAAGTAAAAACTAAGTGTTTAAAACACTTATTTAATGTATTTTGATGTCAAAACAAGCTTTGTAAGTTGAAAACCACGTCGTTAAGGTAAAAACCATGGTTGACCAAGTCAACACCGTACACGGGTGGTTTTCACCAAAAGACAAAACCGAAAGGTGGTTTTCATGATGTTTTGATTGGAGAACCATTTAAATGCATTCAAAAACAATTCCCACACAAAAGACTTGAAAAACACTTTATTTAAGTAAAAACCACGGCTAGCCAAGTTTATGCCGTTTCGCGTGGTTTTTATCAAACGATAAAAAACGAAAGGTGGTTTTTGATGAAAACTATTTAAATGTGCCCAGAAGTAAAAACCATTCATAAAAAGTTGAAAACCACTTGGTTAGTTCGGACGCCAAAAACCAATGCCGAAAACCGAATGCCGAACGCCGGTTTCTGAAACCCGAACGCCGGATAGCTTGGTTTTTGGTTTGGGCGAACACCAAGTGTTTTTAATGTTTTAAACATGTTTGAAAAACATTTTTATGTTGTGTGAAATGCAATGAAAAGAATTTTAGCCTAAAGAGCCAAGGTGTAAAGGTTGGGTCGGTCTTGATCACAATTATGACCGACTCAATAACACTAAGACTACGGTCTTCGTTCTTGGTCTTCTTTTGGCCCTTGTTCTCTTTCTTCTCATCTTTGGTTCTCGCCTTGTATATTCAATGACTTGTCTCGTTCACGGCGGTTTGGCATTATCAAAACCTGTCATAACAACGAACACGGCTTTAGTACGAAAACGTGATGAACCCGTGTTTCAACAATTTCCCCCTTTTTGATAATGGCAAACAAGACGGGGTTATGCATAGGAGGATTGATTTGAGACTTAAAAAATGTTCCCCCTTAATAAATGCAATTTAGAAACAGTTCCCCCTCAATATATGCATAACCTTTATATCTTCCCCCTTTTGACATTAGCAAAAAGCACTTCAAAAAATTGTAAAAAAAAGAACTCCTTGAACATTGATGTTTGATACTGAACATCGATGTTTGAAAATGTCCTTGAGCATCAATTGTCAACAATATCGTAAAACGAGCTTCCCCCCTGATGCGGTTCATTGGGTTCCGTGCTTGGAGCATCCACTACAGGTTTGTAGTCTTCAAGCACACCCTTTTGTGTATCTAGTAATACCATTGAGGTACCCAATAGCTTTTGGGTCCTTGGGGGTTAGGCAAATGAAAATCATAATCATAATTATAAGAAGTGTCCCTATGGTTAGCAAAACACATGGGTGCTATGTGTCCTATCTTAGAACAATAATGACATACTACGTTTGGATTATGCATATGCCTAGGTTGAGCCAAAAACTTTCTAGGTGATCTAAAATCATTATTCATAGAATTATTAACTAAATTCCTAGACTCATTTCTAGGTTGTCTCAAAATATTTCTACCATTTGTAAAAATCCTAGAGTCAATTCTAGGTTGTCTCACCTTATTACTTTTATTCTTTCTAAAATTAATTTTGTTATACCTAGGATTATTTGTTCTTCTAGGTGGTTTACCATTTTTAACTTCTACCTTAATTTTTTCAATGGTGCTCTTAAGTTCTACATTCTCTACTTTTAAAGACTCACAAGAGGAACAAGTAGAACTTTGGTCAAAGAAAGAATCTTCATTCATTGCCTTAATTTTATTTTTGAGGTCAAAATTATCATTTTCCAAAAATTTATTTTCCTCTTCCAAAGCATGAATTTTTGCCTTAGCCTCTTTGGCAATTTTTGAAGATTTCTTTAATTCACCAAATAATTCTTGAAAGGCTTCTTGTAATTCTTCAAATGAGAAAGATTTAGAATCACTTACCTCTC